AAAAGGCGTTTACTATAAACAGTTATGCCACAACCTTCACTAAACACCACCGCTTACCTATTCAGCATCGTATTCAAACGTCTATTCAAACCATTTGTACCGAAGACATAGCTACGCAATGTGTTATACTCATTGGAAAGTTGTATCAAATTATCCGCTTCGATGACATCTTTACGCTTTGAAGAGGAGCCATTGTAAGTGCCACCGACCAAAAGAAGATCCAATAAATCATATTCGTCGTTGATATTAATGCGTGAGTTGCCATCTAGACGAAAAGTGATGTTGCGATTTAGGCCAGATTCCACAATTAAATTGCCGTCTTTGGTTATAATTTTCGGTCTAGAAGCAAAGGAAGCTTATTAACTGAAATAATACTTTCAGGGGCGTATAACACATATTGCTTTATGCACTTAACACTTACGAGTTAACAAATCCATCAACGGGATTCTCCAAGTATATTATGTAAACGATTAAAAGCACTGAGACGCGGCAGGATAATGTTATCCTGTTCAGCGACATGATTTTTCAGCAATCACTTCACTTCGGCATCAACACTTCGCTGTTATAAATCTTATTATAAATCACGGTGATCACAAAATATTTTTTGTTGTTGCTGCACGAGCTGCTGGAGCAAGACTGTGCAGCTTGGTTAAACGGATCTCACGAAATAAATTCGGGGCGTTACATTTTATCGCTAACGTTATAACGCCCCCATAAATACCTGCTCTCATACATATGCACACAATCACATATTTGTAGCACACATTTGCATGTGAGATAACAGTTTAGGATCCGCTCGTACCAATTGGTTACATGGACTTTTATCAATATCTGACGCCATAGAACAGGGTATAAGTGCAATACAGTAAGAAGCAAGCTTCCTACATAATCACACTTTCTACATCGAGCCCCCATTTTTCAACTTTTTGTGATCGAAATTTGATCATTTCTCGGATAGCAGGGCAGTTTAATAAGTCAGTGATTTTCTTATGACATTTGGAGAACAGAAATGCAACATATAGCTGCCCTTCATCCAATATCCCACTATAGATATTTAGTTTCTAGGGTAATGCATTTATAAAGACGTTCAAACATGGTGATGATCTAAAGAGAAACTAAATATACCATTTGACAAAGGCTTGTTTATTTAAATGGTACAACTCTTTTTATGTTCGTGTGAAGTTTGATACCCATTTGTCAATTAGTGTTTTCGGCAGCTGATGTCAAAAGTTTGTTCGGCGATTTTATTATTAGTTTATCTCAAACTTGTCTCATGTGAGTCGTTCGTCAATCTCTGTTAATGGCGATTACATCGTAAAAGTTGAGGAAACAGTGCTCGAACATCGACCCTTAATATTTTAGGTATGAAATGTCTCAATGCCAGACTGAATATTTGCAAAAATAACATCGAGTAGCGACCGCTAAAGACATTCTTGATAAAGTAGCTGACGACCCAACTTTTATCAAACGCATCATTACTGCTGACTAGACGTTCAACAATATAGCGAAAGGCACTCCAAAAATGCTCCGAAGTCGAAACCAAAAAAAAACCAAAATTCACTAAAAAGCCACCCCTGCCGAGTCTTCCACAAAGTATATCGAAAATTGTTGGCATTACAAATTACTTATAGGGTCTACCGACAAGAACTACGTGGAGTAGACCCGGATTTTTATCCGACCAAGGACTTTCAACTCGGCTGCATTCGGCATTCGACAAAAACAACAGCAATTAAACAAAATGGGTTCTGTTTTTTTGTTATGCATATAACTTTAAACCATTTGACTGAACATACCCCAGAAATAAAAATCTAGAGACTTTAAATCGAATGATCTTGATGGCCATTTGACTGGGACATTTCAGAAAATGAACAAGTCTCCGAACTTTGTACACAATATGGCCATATTTAGACGTGCAATATGAGTCGGCTCACCGCCTTTTTGGAAATAGAGATCGTCCACGAGTCGAGGGAAAAGCATCGTGTTTTTAATGACAACGGCACTTCCTGCCTTTCTAAAGTTTTGTTTGTGGACGAAGCCATTAAGCCAGAAATACGTTTCATCTCAGCAGGCTGTGTTTTGCGCGAAGGACTTTTACAGCACATAGCCATCGGATGTCCAAGTGTTGTGCCAAAGTGAAACCTGACATGGTGAAGTGGCAAACCTAACCGAACACTGACAAGAGTTAACCAAATCCGTAAACAAACATGTCCGCCAATAGCTGTCAAAATCACGTCATCCCTATTGGTAGAAGCTACTCACAAACGATATTTGAAATAGTTTTTAGTTTAGGTTAGGTTAATCTGATAAGCCAATGAGCCACGCATAGACTAGTTTTTTTTTTCCTTTGCGATACAAGATAGAGTTCAGTTTCTAGGTCCATGAGGAGTAGTCATTCTTCAGGATGCCTGCGCTTAACATGAATTTTAACAGACTCTGCGGCCTCACTATCGATACCTCCTCCAGTGAGCTCCAGTGGGGATCTCAGATGCTTAAAGCGTAGTCTTGGCAAAGCGGCAGAAGTGCAAAAGATGTGCTCTTTCAGTCTTCTCAATCGGTCAGCCCTTTCTGCGGGTGTGTGCCACCACCATAGTGACCTTTTAGCATTCCGATCATATTCCTGTAGTCTCTTCTATCGAGTGCCAATAGGAATTTTGTATACTTCCAATCAACACTTTTGTAGCTTTGCACCCAGGTAGCTCGTTCCATTGAGTTTTGGTTTTCATTACCATGCTTCTGTTCAGATTATTCTATAGACATGCAATGTCTATTGGTTCCCCAATGTTGATCACGTTTTTGGATGTTAGCCGTACACCATTATTGGCAATCTCGTCCACGGGTTTATTGCACACGATGCCTTTGTAGCCTTACATCCAGCAGAAGTGTAGTTGCCTGCTTCTGGCAACACTTTCCACTGCTCTCCTGTTTCCCAAGACACTTCTGGCTGATATGCGATACGAGGTTACTGTCTTCAAATCATGACAATGTGAGCAATGACACACATTGTCTGGTCGACACCCCGCGATGCAGCTAACAAGAATTTTTGCGTTTTTTTTTTTAAGCTGAAGCCAGTTTCTTGATCTAAAATCGAATTTAGGCAGGCTAACAAAAATAAAAATATTGGATTAAACTCAACTTTTTTGTTTTTTTTTTGTTAATTTTTTTTTTTACTTTTATGCTAACTCAAAAAATATTTAATTTTTTTCAACAAAAATTGTACTGTGTACTCTTAGCTTATTGACTGCCATCACACATTTTCGTGAGACACACGAAGATTGCTTGGGCGACAGTTTTTTGTATTATTATTTCTTTTTCTGCTCTCAAGGGAACCAAAATCAACAAGTACATTAAGGAGAGTTATAGATATAGCCGTTCACAGGACAGTCGAGTCTACGCGACCCGAACGGACCCGGATTTTTATCCGGCCAAGGACTGTTAACTCCACAGAATTATGCCGCTACAACAACAACAGAACACAGCTATTTTAAAGGTAAGAATTGCTGCAACATGAGAGTTATGATAATTTTAGACATAATTTCTGGTGTATGTTCACTCTAAGCTCTCAACAAAATACATTTGAAAGACATTACTGTGAATTCTTGCAAAAGGATGAAGGTTAAGGTTGAAAAACAAACAATATATATATCATTTTTATATTTCTTTCGCTTATTTATTTCTTGTTGTCACACATTTACAACTCACACTATAACTATAATATCAGTAAACCATTTGCAATAAATATCATACTTATAATTCGAAAATTCAATAAAGCAATGCAATGGGTATGTATGTACTTATAAATACAGAAATTCATAAATATGTGTGTGTTTAATATTGAACGCAATGCTTTCTAGCAATTACAGTAATTGTACAAATTTCAATATGGTCAAGTGCTGAAAAAATCACCAAAAAAAAAAAACACCAAAAGTAATTAAAAACATATTACTTACTAACTTGAGAGTAATTTCGAAAACTAATTGAAAATCAGTAAAAACTCAAAGGAGTTGCAAAAAAAAACTATATTTACTATGACAATTAACTTGCGAAAATTATTGAACTTAACATAAGTACGCTTACTGGTGCAAAGTCTGGGTGCTTGAGTCAAAGTCGAGGAACAATAAAAAGGCAAAAACCTATGATATTTTAAGCTGTAACTTATAATAACACTTTATGCTCTGTTTGCAACTGCGCGAATGCATTAAGAAGAGATCAGCAATTCATAAATGTAAACGTAAACGTAAACTTAATAACGTGCAGGCGATGTGCAGTTTTTGCATACTTGTACATACATACATTATACCATTATACGTAAGACATAAGTATTGTATAGGTTACTAAAACTATTAGTTTTTTTAAGTGCTTGAATGTATACGTCAGGTATTTCTATGTATATATATATGTATATATTTTTAATTCATAAATAATATACTTCACTTTCGACTTACTTGCATACACAAGTGTATGTAATATATAGATATTATTGTATACTACATAATAAATTTGGCAAACTACACATTACGCCTACATTACTAAAAGTCAGATAGATATATTTGTATACTTTTATTGGCATTAAATGTAAACGTACGCAATATAGAACTAATATGTAATATTCTTTCAACGTTTTTACGCTTTCTACCATAAATGCTGAATGCAACATTAATTAATCTAAATAATGAGAGTAGCAGCAAAATGAGAACACTGTTAATATAAATTAAAGGACTGCAGCGCACATTTAGCCAAGTAGGGATGACATTTTTACTTAAATTCTAATTACTTAATTTGCGTATGTCTGTCATCACGTGTTTTATGTGTGACAAAAATATGCTGAACGCAAGTATATTCCGGTTTAAGAGGTTATATCCACTTATGAATGTATATAAATCTATTTTTCGCTAATATAGTATATCGAATGTGCAAATATCTGGAAATTTTCTCACAAAATTTTAAGTTAGTCCGGGAAATCGAAGATGTACAGGGTTTGTCCGGAAAGTATGGGACTGAGGAAGACTTAAAAAAAACTTTTGAACCAATCGTAACAATTCTTTAAAAACTTTCAAAATAGGCTCCTTCTGCGTCGATACAGCGTCGTCAGCGCGATTTCAAAGCATTGAAGGCGTCACGGAAGGTATTCTCCGGAATAGTTGAATGCTGTTTAGATCCCCTCTGTTGTCGCAAAAAAGTCGGGGGGAGGGGCACATCTGAGCTGTAGGGTGGCTGCAGAAGCGTTGGGATGCTGGTCTTGATTAGGTAGCTGTTCACAAGAAAGACAGTATGAGCCGTGGCGTTGTCGTGGTGCAACTTCCAATCAGCTGCGATGTTTTGTCGGACCCGATTAATCCTTCGTTTGAGTCTCTGGAGTATTTCAACGTAAAACTTGGCGTTGACGGTTTTTCCAGGAGGAACAAATTCATGGTGGACGACGCCTTTGATGTCAACAAAGAGAATGAGAATCCTTTTCCTTTTGGATTTGCTCATTCTTCCCTTTTTTGGGCGAGGAGACGCCGGCGTGTGCCACTCATAAGATTGTCTCTTTGTCTCGGAACCGTTAGTCGGTTCCCGCACGCGCCGAAGTACAGTCGCGGCGGAAGAAAATCAGTTACATTACTTTCCGGAGAAACCCTGTATTAAAGTACATAAAATTCTCAAAATATACATTATAAAAAAAAAAAATTTAACGAAGACACGTCTTTTTCTGACTTGCAAGTGAATATAATCCCTAAACCGCGATCTCTCTTTATGCATTATCAAATTTTTGTGTTTATATAAATACGTCAACTTTGGATTGTCTCTCTAAGCTTTGGTTTTGTTAAAAATACACTTGGGTTTTTTTTTCATTTAATATATCAAATTTGCATTTTTTGCTTCTTATTTGCTCAAATTAAACGTTTTTTTTTGTACAATTATAGAAAATGTTTTACTTTTAACTTTGTTAAGCTGACGTTTTTAGGGTTTTTTTTTTAAATAATATTTATGAAATTCATACAATTCTTGCTTTAACTTGACATACGTCTGTGGTATTTGGTTTTAATACTTAAATCCATTATAATTTGAAATTGTAGTACTCTTGACAGCAGACATACATACACATCCACACACAAGCGTTTCTTTGCTTTTACTTTTTCTTGCTTTTTTATACTTTTTTCACCTTTTCTAAGTTTGTTTTTTTACATTTCCGCCCGCTTGTGTCCGCCTCAGGTGTTCCTGCTTCTTATAAAGGAATTTGTACTGTGGATGATCCTTGGTATAGCGCTCGAACTCATCTTTTTTATGAAAAGGAATATATATGTAATTAATAAACAATAATAACGGTAAAAAAAAGCAAACTCACCAAATGAAATGCAGCCTTTGTTCGTGCTATCGATGGCAAAGAACAATGCATCGCACTTTTCCGGCGTCATTTTGCCCGTGTGCCGCAGTATACGTGCGAAGCTTTGACGTGTAATACGTTGCGTTGACTCCGTGTACAACTGAGGGGTATAAATTAATAATATGCATCAAACACGGGGGGCTAACACCCAACATTTTTTTATAACTCCAAAGAAAGCGTGTGAGTTAGTAATGAGATATGTTTTTTTACGAGATTCAACGCCTAGTCGATCAATAAACCACGATCATAAATCCTCTATCGTGTGGTGAATGTAAATGTGGTGAATACGAATGAAGTGTTTCAGATATTATCACACCCCACGTGGGGTAGTTAGCAATATTGGATGGCAACGGAGCCATGTTAGTTATTTTCATAAATCGAAATTACATCGATCTAGTCTTAATTTTGGTTAAACACGATACTTTCAAAACTTAAAATAAAATCATATATCTAAAGAAATCATAAGAATGTTTTTGTTGGAAGTAAAATTTCACAAGTTTATCGAAGATTTCCTGGGATGTTCTGCCAAAATGATTACGAATGCAAAAAACTCGCAAAACAATCCCGAACCCGAAGGGAACCTCTTTCACAGGCACAGTTGAAGAAAGTTGTGGCTTTGGCCCGAGAAAAGCCATTTTATGCCTCAAAAAAAAAAAAATAAAAGAACAGTTAAATGTTGATGTTACTGCTTCCACAATAGGAAAACAGCTGATAACAGCTAAACTCTATGGCAGAAGTCATGCGGTGAAATAACTTAAACCCCATTATTTGCAGGTCAGAGTTCAATGTGCTGAAGACCACCTGGATTGGTCAATCGAAAAATGGCGCAACATATAGTGGTGCTCCAAACCAAAAATTGTTTTATTTGGTTCCCGAAGGAGCCAACTGTATATACGGAGACCAGTAAACGCTTCATTTGATTATAAATATGTTTCACGGACTTTAGCACATTAAGATGTCAAAATCAATGTATGAAGGTGCTTCTCTTACTATAGCACAGGTCGTTATTTTGGATAAAAAAAATTAACAGGAATGCTAAATTGTATGTTGAAATAATGGAGTTGACTATGCTACCACAGTCTGAAAGCAAAATTGCGTTGAAATGGGTCTATCAACAAGATAACGATCCCAAGCATAATAGCAGGTTCGCAAAAAAATTGGTTTGCTATAAATGAAGTTAAGGCTCAGTCACCGGACCTTAATCCAATTAAAAATCCTTGGGCAGAGGCCAAAAAAGTAGTAAGAAAAGATAGTCCGTCAAATACGAAGCAATTATGGAGTGTTGTGAAGAAGGCGTGGAAAGTCATTCCTCTTGAGAAATGCAAGCAATTGGTGGACTCCATACCTAGGAGATGGTTTAGAGATTATTAGATTACGAATTTATTAATGAAAGTATTGATTGTCCTCCTTTTTTTTGATATTTGTATTTCTTATATTTTGATTAGTTATCGGCTTTTCAGTAAAAACAACAACCTATTTCTTGTCAGGATTAGGGTTCTGCAAAGTCTTCAGGCATACAAACATCGCGTGATCCCCACTCTCAGACTCTTTATGAAAATATGCTGAAGGTTTTGAGGTTTAATCTAAGCAGTTTTCATGGATTAGAAAATGTGAAGAACGCAAGAGAGTAGCAACATCTATGCCAAAAATATTTTCTCAAAAAGAACCTTAGGCATTTTATACGTGATCAATTAGATGTGAAAGAACATCGTTTTAATTACATTAGCAGAAAATTTCCTCAAATACTGAGGTTTTTTACTTCGATTACTGATAGTGTCATGAATTGTAAGCACGAATATAACAAAAATCGAGAATATCAAGAATATTGTTCAATTCGACTGGAGCAAAATTGATAAAATTACGACTTTTTGTGCATGACATCGAATAACTATTCCTTTCGGAGACACGTTCGAATAACGGCAAGCCGTATTTTTTAATATTTCAATAACAAAAAATAAAGAGATTTTAACTATGTCGTCACAAAAAATTGATTGAAACAAGCATGTTTGTGCACGAATCAAGGTTACCCACCCTTCTTAAGCTCGAAAACCTATTTTGAAAGTGATGATAAGGATTTGTTAAAGCACGTGAAAAGGTGTTTTTTTTTTTGCCAGACCGGGTCAAATTTGGAATATATGTATATATTTATTTATAACAATTATTTGCTGAATAAGCCAAAATATTTCAAATAAGTTCTGGGCAACAATTTGCAAGCAAATGATTTCTTTTTATATTCGCATAAACAAAATTATATTAATTCAAAACAGGGCTCTATTAAAAATATGGATGAATAGAAAATATACTTTCAAAAACAACCTAATGCTGCTGTTATCAATTCAGCAAAAGTTAGAGAGTGACGAATGTAACAAACATCTGACATAAATGATGTTAATTATCATAATAATTATTAAGGATACATTGAACTTTATAAATTTGTTGCTGCTCAATAGTAGGACTGTAGGACGGCCGGAACGGCAGAAGAACAAATCATGGATTTTACACATTACCACGACTGTGACCAAATTTAAAGCCAAAAACACAATGAATACCATCGATCAACCACCGCATTTACTACTTTGAAGGAGACGGAATAAATATTGATGAATAATTAAATATTTTGCTATTTATTTACAATTTCCGGTTGTTGTTTTGTCATATTTGCAGTTGTACACACTAAATATGAGTAGCAACTTTCTGTTGCGTCTCTGAAATCAATTAACACCTAACAAAAACTACAAACTAAATTTAACAAAAGAGACTTTCACTATGGATTTCATTTGTTTATCCCGAAATGCACAAATACATATGCAAATTGACATCAAAACGAAAATTACCGGGAAATAAATATAAAAAAAGCGTGTATTTTGATTAAAGACCTTTACCGAAGTACAAATATTAAATTTAACATGCCTACTGCCAACCCCTAAGCGCGTCGGGGTTTAATTTTTTTTTTTCTTCAATTTTAATCTTCAAATTGTTTTAATGATTAGAAACGTAGACAGAATGAGGTGTCAATGACGATATAATAAAATGAAATAAAGAATAAAAGGATTTTCACTTACAGTAGCGATGGCGCGCAGAAACACGATAATCTCTTCGTTCTTTAGTTTACAAAATTGTGAGCATAAAAGAAAACTCCTCAAATTAACTGTATACCTGTGATGCTGCAAAAGGAATAAGAGTGAATAAATCAGAACATATGTATGTAAAGACGATATGAACAAATCTTACATGATCTAGTAATGCGAAAAGCTGGAGTAGTTGCGAATTTTTAGGGTCAATCCGAAGTAATTCAGCAAAGGTGAATATGTCTAAACGGTCAGTATTGTTTATGCTAAGAAAATCTGCAACTAATTCTTGATCACGCACGGAATCTGGGAGGAAACTGCAAAATGGAAATTGGGATAAAGCAAAGTAAGCGATTGATAACAAAAAATTAACATAAATATTAAAATATAAATTAAAGTAGCATAAGTTAAGTTAAAATTAATTAAATTATTATAATTATAATTTACAAAAATTAAAATCTGAGCTACAAAATTCATCCTTAATCATTATTATCAACTTTAGCTAAATTCGACTTAAGCCACATTTAATATATTTTGCCACAGAAATAAAATTGATTATTATGTGATAAAAAGCTTTCTGCATTCGTAACGAGAATCAACAAAGTATGTGACATGTAACTCCTTAAACTTACCCCAAATTGTAAAGCACTCGTTCAATTTCGATAATATCGCCAGGAAAGGGCACACGCATATCTTTGGCACGACTCATTGTAATCACATCTTCGAAAGAGTACTCTGATGTTGGCACACCAAGCGCTCTGTTGTTAGAAAGAAAGATGAAAATAATTATAAAGATTGCAAATTCAAAATGCGCTAAAATAAGTAAATGTATGTTAACTCCGATCTCACACTTACTTGGCCATAACATCTCGCACATTTTTCGCATATAAATTCGCATCAGCCTTTTCCTCCTCTGACGGTGTGTACACCGGTAAAAATTCGATTTCACAACGACTATAGAATTGCGCCATTGTCATCCAAAGCAGTTTCAGGCTAAAAATAAAATAAACTCAATTGAGAACACCCATTGCATATAATATTTAGATGAGGAATCAACACGGTTAAATTTTAATCTAATTATTCAACACATAGCGACGGAAGTATTTTTATGAAAAGATTGTTAAACCTAGAACTTAACTCAGTGATTCGACATATGAAAAAAAAGAAACCTCCATATACCCTCTGTGTTCCTCGGACCATTTCGGACTAAATCATTAATATAAGGCCGTTGCCGGAGCAAACCTCTTTGTAAATAATTAGACTGCACTAGCTCAATTTAAACTAATTTAAGTCTAAAATAAGTAAATAATTAATTAAGGCATTCCTATGTCAGATTTTGATTGGTCAATTTGTAAGGCAGCTAGATGCTACAGTGGTCCGATCTGAACAATTTCTTCAGAGACGTATACCGTTACTTTGGATAATAATTCATGCTAAATTTCGTGAAGATATCTCGTCAAATGACAAAGTTTTCCAATAAGAACTTGATTTTGAACCGGTTAGTTTGTATGGTAGCTATATGCTACAGTGGTCTGATTTGCATGATTTCTTCGGAGATTATAACGTTGCTTTGGATAATAATTCATACTAAATTTCGTGAAGATATCTGGTCAAATAAAAAAATTTTCTATACAAAACTTAATTTTTATACTTCTGTTGGTATGGCAGCTATAAGCTATAGTAGTCCGATCTGAACAATTGGTTGGGATGTTATGCCCTTGCCTCGGGAAATGATCCATGCTAAATTTCGTGAAGATATCTGCGCAAATTAAACATTTTTCTATACAAAACTTAATTTTGGTCCTTAGGTTTGTATGGCAGCTATAAGCTATAGTAGTCCGATCTGAACAATTGGTTCGGATGTTATGCCCTTGGCTCGAATAATGATCCATGCCGAATTTCGTGAAGATATCTGCGCAAATAAACAAGTTTTCCATACAAGGAATTGGTTTTTATGGTACATTTTGTATGGCAATTATATGTCATAATGGTTCGATATGGGCAGATCCGACATATTAGCAGATTCTTGGAGAGAAAAGGACGGGAACAAAGATTCAAACCGATTTCGCAAAAACTGAAGGGCTAGTTCGCGTATACACAGACATACGGACATCGGCTCGTCATTCTGATCATTTAAATAGATATATACTTTAAAGGATCTCTGACTTTTTTTGTCTATAAAAATGATCAGAGAGGCGGATTTAAATACCTATAACCCCTCAAACAATAAATAATATCAACTTTACAGGACCTCGGACATTGCTTTCTGGGTGTTATTAACTTCGTGGAAATTAATGTACCTGATTCAGAGTTTAAAAATTAGAATACAACAATGAAAAAAAAATTTAAAGCAGCTAAAATCTTTTTGAGCATACTTACACGCCTGGACCGTCCCAAGTCCACGTGAATGAATCATATTTATTAGGATACTTGAGCAAAACTGGTTGTACAGGTACACCTGGATAGAAAGCACCAGGCTTAAATTTAATCAAGGCCTTGCGATTGGTACACGTGCCCTCAGAAAAGATAACAACTTGTGGCCACTCCTCTTCAGAACGTGCACGCTCTACAATCTCACGTATGGTGTTCTGCCGAGAATTCGGATCCTCGCGCTGCACATAAATGGGTTGCGCGAAATTGATGATTTCTTTGGAATGAAAAAAAAAACGTATTTCGTCAAGACAAAATCCATAATTTGTAGTGATATGGCGAACTTACTGCCCAACAAAGGTATATCGGAGGTCTCACGCTTCGCCACAATCGAAGGTGGACCAGTTGCTACCACAATGATCGAATCGACATAGGAAGAGTGCGGCGCCACCACCATGATGGGTGCTTGCTTCGGTGACGCACGTTCGCCAGTCAATTTGACATGATGAAATGTTCCGGCAGCGAAGAGTGTACGCATTGCACCGGAGGTGATTCGTTGAAACTGTCTGAAATGTGGCAAATGCGTAAAAACGTGCAATAAAGATTTGAATTTAATGATTTCCAAATGTTTACCTTCTCCAGCCGGTTATAGGTCTCGCCTTTAAGTCGTCAAGTGTGAGACCGTACAGGCCGATGCAGGCGAACATCCATGCGGATAGAAGCGAGAGAAGACAGCCGAACACGCGAATCGGCATCAAAAGCACTGTTAGCACATAAATCTGCAAACGAAAACAATACAAATTTTGTAAACAAAATATATGTATGTATGTATAGTATATAAATTTGGTAAACACCCACATTTTGCTCGAACATAAAATACACTGAATGATTTACAATCAGTTGTTCGAAAGAATGCAGCTTAGCGCAGCAGTAAAAGATTGGTTGCATTAATTTCAGATTGATTGGTGATTCTTAGAACACTCGACAACGATAAGACAATTTTTTTGTTTACTTTTTACTCAAGCACTTCGAACCCACGGAGGTGCTCAAAAGGCAAAAGCTCTTGGACTGAATCAAAATCCAAATTAAACACAAAAATTGTCGAAAGAGAGACAATTTTTAGTGAAGAACAACCCTGCTAGAGAAAGTTATACCATCTGATCAAATTGGACCCGGACTAACAAAATAAAACTGTATTTTCACGTATTTTAATATAAATCTATATTATCGCCTTCAAACTAGCTTCCGAGCCAAAATAGGTGTATATAGAAAGCAAGCCAAGATTAATCCAGCTTTCCTCGTAAGCTTCGAAAAGAAGCTTTCAAATAAAGGGAGAATTACAGAGGGTCTAAACTTGCCCCAGGATCAGTGTTAAAATTACCGAAGTGAGGAAAAAAGGCTTCACTACTGTAACCAGAGGAAACTGCTGTTGTTGTAGCGGCAAAAATGTACCGAGTTGACAGTCTTTGGTCGAATAAAAGTCCCGTCCGGTTACGTAGACTCGACTATTATGGTATCGGCGAAGGAGACAGGAAACTGCCAACAAAGGCGGTGTCATATGCATCGATTACTCTACATTTCTCCGTGCTGAAAACCCTTAAGGCCCTTATTAATACTAACCTTTACACAGAACTTGAACATAGGTTGTCATAATTGAAAAATTTTAAAGAATTAGTAGGCACATCAATCATACACGAATATTCTGTGCAAATTGGGTGCCGCGAGAGCTCATCTTTGATCAAAGGCAACTAAGAGTTGATGACTCGGAGCAGTTTTTGGAGATGTACCAGCATAAAAACCGTATCTTTTGTGCCGATATGTGACAATGAATTAAACATGACTCCATCATTTCACTCTGAAGTTCAATCCACAGTCATCCTACAAAAATTGTATTGAAAAGTTGGAGGGATACTTTAAACTATGTATCACCATTGTAGGGAACTATGATGAAAAAAATATATGTATATATTGCCAAAATAATGTGTTTTATTATGATAGGCCGAGCACTTGACCTGTTAGGTGCATAGAGCAAGGTCCTTGTAATAAGTTTTACAGACAAGCTTCTTTACCACCAAAGAGAATCTCAACCGACAACTACAGAATTATGACTAGGGACACTCGTCATTATTCCCACTAAGACAACCAGTATTTTGATGAACTTCCATCACCATCCATTTTTGGATGGCGGTGCTTTGGATGCCTCGATAATTTATGAAAAGCTTTAATACACCAACCCAACTAACTAACTTAAGCATATTCATAACGTTTGATAAATTTCTAAATAACAAAATGAGTTCGTCAATGAGTGGGTGTATTTCGCCTTTTTTTAAAATAAATTAAGCGAAATACGTATAAATAGCTATTCTACACGTACATATGTATCTACGTTCGTAAATAATTTAAAGAAATGGCAATCATTCATGCAAAACAATTTTTTAACACATATATGTATATACATATGTATATACATATATAGAAATTTGCAACGGTAAATAATTGCATAATTTTTTCCATGGAAAATTACATAAATATTATTCGATTGATTGCAAACCAAATTGTTCAATTTCTGAAGAAGAAAAACTATTCATCGATAAGAAACACATACACATGTACATATGTAAATGTAAATAAAAATATAATATATAGTTGCAGTTAACGGGAAAAAATACTAAAAAACTAAAGTAATATTATTAAAATAAAACAATTACCAAAAAAATGTGTTAATAGTTATTTATAATGCATACAGTTGCGGTCAAATTCTCAGTAGTGTGCAACCATAGAAGAGGAACTGTTAAAAAAGTATGCGATATCGCCTTCATAAAAAATTTGTTTGTACTATAAAAACCCTAAAAATAAGAAAAACAATTCACAAAAAAAATAATAACTAATTTCAATGAATTATAAATATATAAAAAAAATATGAAGAATTTCGGCGGTCAAAAACTTAGTAGTGCAACAAATTAAACCCGAAATTTCGAAAATAAAGAAGTAAATTTTTTTTTTTTTTTTTAATATTGTCGTTTTATAAAATTAGTATTTTTAGTTGCGTGGCCTTTATTTTTTATTCAACAAGTTTTTGACATTTTTCGACGGAGGAGATGAGAGTCATGCGTTCTTCACTACGTTTCCATCGCTTAGCCGATGTCGGCTTAAATCGGGCTACAGACTCCTTGACATCAGTGCACAAATTTTCAATGGGGTGATGTCAGGGGATTGTGGCGACCATTCCATTACCTTGACATTCCCTTCCTCAAAGGACCTTTCAGCACCTTCGAAGCCTTTTTTCAAACATGCCATTGTAGACAAACGGCACTTTTGGACTGTGGGCACTCAGGTCGTGATCACTTAACTGCCAGTGTACAGTTTCAATGCTTGCAGCTATATTAAGGGCATCTTTTAACTCTGTAGCAGGCCCACAGGAAACTGCATTGAGTATTTGATTATGGTGATCTATGGGTATCTCAGTCACATTGCTGGCTTCGTTCCACGCTTATTTATTACTTGGCCAGCATTAACACCAACAAGCGACGTCAACTTAGGAATCCAACGCCAATAAGTGTTACTTCGGACTGGCTAGGCTATTGAGAAGTAAAGTCCTTTTTCTCGACGAACAAAGACCAAACTCTGCAAGTCACTCATCATCCCCGTTGTTGTTGTTGTTGTAGCGGCAGATCATCCCCGTCCTGCTATATGGTGTAGAGCTATGGACGATAACAACATGTGATGAGTTGACGTTACGAGTTTTCGACAGAAAGGTTCAGCGGACGATTTATGGTCCTTTGCGCATTGGCAACGGCGAATACGGCAATTGATGGGACGATGAGCTGTACGAGATATACGATGACATTGGTATAGTTCAGCGAAACAAGAGATAGTGGCTGCGCTGGCTAGGTCATGTTGTCCGAATGGACGAAAACGCTCCATACTCCGAAAGTATTCGGCTCAGTACCCGCCGGTGGAAGCAGAGGAAGAGAAAGACCTCCACTCCGTGGAGACCTCCAGGTGGATAATGGCATGGCTTCGCTCGGAATCTCAATTGCGAAAAGAAGAAACGATAGATCATTTATTTCATTCATTGACTGAAATAACTTCATTCGGGGCCTTTTGCTACCCCGACAATAGCAAAAGCAAAAGCGTATATGGTAGATCTTAATGGAGAATATTTTGAAAAGCAAAACAAATTAAAATTAGGGGGTAGGCCTCACAAAAACACATTTTATAAGAAAAGTATTGTTACAAGGTCAATTCCAGACAGTTCTGCGACTAGGGACTAGACAAGAGTTTAAATTTGTGTTCGATCGATTCAAAATAACCTTGGAAAACTGCTCACACACACAGGGACACCGAATCTGTCGGATAGTGTTCGCTAGAACTCATCTCGCATGGAATATCTCAAATAATGTAAAAAAAAAAATAATATTATGTATTATGGACAGACAATCAAGGTTAATTTAGTGATGTGACAGTAAATGTTGAATATGATGTTCGAAAAATTCAGCATTTTAACTGCGAAAACTTTTAAGTACGAAAGTGGAAGCATTATGATATGGGGACGGGTCTGATGTTACGGTGAGGGACCTTTGAATTAAATAAAAAAAGAGGTGGAACAGATTTATTTATATCCGCATACTCAATAATATGGTTAAGCTCCTTTTTAAAGAATGTAAGATGACTCTATAGTTTATTTTTAAACAATACACCCACCCCAAATATACGTCGGCCCATGTTAACCTAGTCTTCTCAACCTCTGAAAAATAGAAGCGTCAGATCGAAAAAACAAGGAAGTATTGTGGAGAATGGACCAAGTAAATAGCTTTGTATCATTTGGATACCTGTGCGGTTCTAGTGGATTCAATGGCAAAAAGATGCGATGCGACAAGAATTTCCGACAACACGAACAAAGCTGCCATATGTGGGGGAAACTCGTTTCAGGACAAACCGCTACTAGGGAAATCCTTTTACTCCCGAGCAAAAATCTATGGGATTAACTTCTTTAGCTGTTACATACTACCAAACATACCGCGGATTGATTTTGATAAAAAGACGAACAAATCAGAGAAATTTATCTACTACGAGAGACATGGTCGCAGGCGATTTCAATGCTTGGGCGCTGGAGTGGGGTAGCATCTGTACAAATAGGCGCGCTCTACTAAAGGAATTCTCGTCGTTAGACACTGCGTTATTGAACACCGGAAATCAGAATATATTTGAGAAGAACGGTCGGCGCTCCGTTATCGATATAACCTTCGCTAGCATTTCTCTGGCGAGGACAAAAAGTTAGCAAGTGCTGGACCTATGGACCTATATGCACATAGTGACCTTCATTCCATTATGTTTGAAATCGAACACTCAGTGCACAGTCGAAGGAGTATGCCCACTAAGACGGTACAAATAAAAGGATGGAAAATAGAAATCCTGGACGTCGAACTCTTTAAACTCTTGTTAGATGATAATCTAACTGAGGAAGACATAGATCGGCAGACAGAGATCCTAGTGACGCACGTTAGTAAAGCATGTGACGCTTCTATGAGTAGAAAGATAAATGCCTATTTACTGGTGGAATGAAGAGATCGAAAGGAATGTCACAACGCGAGAAAAAGCTGTCAAAGGAGGTAGGGACTCACAGAGTATACGCAATTAAGCGAATGCTTTAAAAGAAGACGATCTTAAAAAAGATATTAAAAAAGTAAATCCCGCTGCTTTAAAGAACTTTGCGGAAAAGTGATGAAAAAGTGATAATGGCGAAAATCAGAGATGGCAACGGACAAGCACCAACGTG